TCTTTGGTTTTGCAAAGTTCTCCCATTAGCGAGCGAATAAATTTCTCACTGACTAAGCGCATTCATGAATAATAAATACGTCAAAAGGGAACACTTCACATTGAAATTCGACGATGAATTTAAATTTTTAATATATATATATATATAGACTTTAATGATGAATCTCTTTTTTTTTTAAGAGTTGAATTTAATTGAATAAAGTCAAACAATGGTTATTGGTTTCATTTTATTAACTGTGAGAGAAGTAAAGCAGATTAAAATGTAATTTAATTGAAATTAAAATTAATATAAATTTAAAAAGTTAAAGTTAAACTCTAATTTAATTGAAATTAAAATTAATATAAATTTAAAAAGTTAAACTGTAATTTAATTGAAATTAAAATTAATATAAATTTAAAAAGTTAAACTGTAATTTAATTGAAATTGAAATTAATATAAATTAAAAAAGTTAAACTGTAATTTAATTGAAATTAAAATTAATATAAATTTAAAAAGTTAAACTGTAATTTAATTGAAATTGAAATTAATATAAATTAAAAAAGTTAAACTGTACTGTAATTGAAATTAAAATTAATATAAATTAAATTAATTGATGATTTAGAAATTAAAAATGAAAGCTTCATCAAGATTTTCCAAAGGCTATTAAATAATATTGAAAAATTTAATTACCTGTTTCTAAACCTGATATTTTAAAATTAAAAAATACAATTAAAAATTTCAAATGCCCAATCACGTTCGAAGCAATTCGAATCTGCAAAGAATCGAAAAATTTCGGAATTAGGATTCAAATCATCTCGCTACTAAATTTACACACGTAGCTTGAAAGCTCAAGCTTGAAAGAAAAAGTAATCATACTAACAAACATCGCATGATTCATACTCAGTACTTCAGCTCGTTGTGCATATGCCCGAGTAAATTTGTATAGCACTTGAATGACAATTTATTCGATTGTGAGTCGCATTCTCCTCGATTCATTTTGTAGTGGAAACTGGGGAAAGCTTAAATAAACGCAAAAATTCTCTCTGCCAATTTATGCGACGACCTTCGAGGAGGAAAGTGGATTCATGAAAGAGGATGACATCGAACATCGTCGCCTCAAAGGCGATGGCAAAGTGAAAAGGAAAACGTTTGCTTTTTTATCAGACTCACCATGTGCATCGACTATAGATGATATCTCCTGTGAAACATAGAAGTACCTGTTTCGATATCTCACGAGAAAGAGGATAAGAGAGAGAGAGAGAGAGAGAGAGATACATCCTAGAGAGAAAAGCAAAGAAAAAAGCGAATTTCATTACGAAACTTAGCAACGTTGTATCCATTGTCTTTTTCCATCAACAGACAATTTTGCTTTCCATCTCTTTTATCTGCAATTCCTTCGTTCGTAATACGCAATAAAAATGAAATTTGTCGTCGATGAACGAAAAGGAAAGTTGAAAATTGGCAGTATAATAATCGTCTGTTCCGGGGCATAAATTACGTCTACTCGTTGCTCTTATCAAATATAATTTCTCGCTAGGAAGTTATGATTTTTATTTTCTTAATTCTCTTGTGTTCGTTTGCTATTTAATTTTCATTCTATAGGGGGTGGATTGCATGATAGAAGCTCGAGAATTCTGAATATATTATTCTAGAGGAATTTGTTATTAAACTCATACTTTTTTAAACGCATAAACATTTTTTATAATTCCATAAATTAATTATATTATAATATATTTTATATATATATATTAATTTAATATATTATAATATATTATATTAATATTATAATATAATGTTATAATATTTAATATTTAATATAGTATATTATAATATATTATATAATTATAATATATTAAATCTGGAACGAAAAAACTTTGAGAACGGCGAATTGAATTCGAGATTCGCCGATGGTTGAGATAAATGGAAATTAATTTCACGTATTCTAGTTCCATAGGGTGACCACTGAAAAACTGAAGGGTTTGAAAAAGTCATAACTTGTTCAATCTTTTTTATTTTCCTTTTCTTTTTTTTTTTTTTTTGTAGGTTATAGAAAAAGAAAATACTGAAAAAAGTCCATTAATTATATTTCCAAATAAAATAAAATAAAAAATTAAAAAAACATGTGTTTGCGAAAGTTATTTTTGTTTTATATCATTCAGTCTTTCAGTGACCACTCTATATTATACAGTACGGAGAAAAAAGTTTAAATATCTCTAGGAAAGAAAGAACAAAATGCAGCGAGGTGACTTTCTGATCGTGGAATTGGACTACGCTCGTAGAAAATGAAAAGTCACAGTGAATTAAGAGATTTACAACTCGTTTATTATGCTCCGTGGGAAATCAGCGCCAGCCATCGAAACGCCTTCTCGCATTCAATTAGAATACACGTGTATTCTTTCCCTCATTGTTGCCGCCGATATCGAAGAAGTAGGTCAGACACGGGCATTGAATTCTCCGCGATTCTTCGAAAGTTCTTGATATCGGAATTTCTTGATAACAATTGCTTTCATGTTTCTCACTGATTGCTTCCAAGCTTCAACACTCGGCTCGAATCATTTCACTAAAGAAAAAGAAAGGAATCATTCGATGTCATATTTTTATTATTTTGAAATATCAGCGCATCAACTGGGGATTAATTTTCACTTCACTGAATAAAACAAACCTTTCACCGTCGATTTCAAATATGTTGAGCCGTCAATTTCTAGAAATTCCATCGGCTTCACGTACCACTCGATAATTGGTTTGAACACACGCCAATTTCTCGTATGAGTGTTTCAACGCGGTGACAGATTATCATTCGAAATATATGACTGACAATTTCAAGACAATGGAAATTTTAATAAATACAATCAACTCCCCGAAAATTCAATTCCATCCGCAAGTAATTCATCATTTTAACCATTATTTTCCAATGCAAGTCGATAGAGATGGAAACTCAAGAATAATAGAAATTTGATAGATCTACATAATTCACAGTCATAATCCACAATCTTTGTCATTGCATTGCAATCCAATTCCGGTGGTAAAAATTTTAAGACAATGAAAACGTAACAAATTTTTATTCCGTGAAAATTCAATTTTATCCGTTTAATTTATCACAAGATTTCTAATTGAACTCGATTACAATGAAAGCTGAGAGACAATAATAAATCTGTAATCTCCAGAAATTCAATTTCATTCAATTCACAATTTTCGTTCACTATTTCCTAAATTCAATTTGATGGCAAAGGAAATTCCAAAACAATGAAAGTTGAATGTAATAAACTCCTATTCTCTCAAAGTTCAATTCCATATAATTTACCTCAAGATTTCCAATTCAATTCGATTATGATGAAAGTTCAAAACCCAGTTCACAATTTTCGTCACTACCACAATTTTTGCCCTGTTTCCTAAATTCAATTTAATGGCAAAGGAAATTCCAAAACAATGAAAATTGAATCTAATAAACTCCTATTCTCTCAAAGTTCAATTCCGTGTAATTTACTTCAAGATTTCCAATTCAATTCGATTACGATGAAAGCTCAAAACTCAATTCACAATTTTCGTCACTACCACAATTTTTGCCCTGTTTCCTAAATTCAATTTAATGGCAAAGGAAATTCCAAAACAATGAAAATTGAATGTAATAAACTGCTATTCTCTCAAAGTTCAATTCCATATAATTTACCTCAAGATTTCCAATTCAATTCGATTACGATGAAAGTTCAAAACCCAGTTCACAATTTTCGTCACTACCACAATTTTTGCCCAGCTTCCTAAATTCAATTTGATGGCAAAGGAAATTCCAAAACAATAAAAGTTGAATGTAATATACTACTATTCTCTCAAAATTCAATTCCATATAATTTACCTCAAGATTTCCAATTCAATTCGATTACGATGAAAGCTCAAAACTCAATTCACAATTTTCGTCACTACCACAATTTTCGTCCTATTTCCTAAATTCAATTTGATGGCAAAGGAAATTCCAAAACAATGAAAGTTGAATGTAATAAACTCCTATTCTCTCAAAATCAATTCCATATAATTTACCTCAAGATTTCCAATTCAATTCAATTACGATGAAAGCTCAAGACCCAATTCACAATTTTCGTCACTACCACAATTTTTGCCCTGCTTCCTAAATTCAATTTAATGGCAAAGGAAATTCCAAAACAATGAAAATTGAATATAATAAACTTCTATTCTATTCTATTCTCTCAAAGTTCAGTTGCATATAATTTACCACAATATTTCCAATTTAATTCGATTACGATGAAAGCTCAAAACTCAATTCACAATTTTCGTCACTACCACAATTTTCGTCCTATTTCCTAAATTCAATTTGATGACAAAGGAAATTCCAAAACAATGAAAGTTGAATGTAATAAACTCCTATTTTCTCAAAGTTCAATTCCATATAATTTATCATTCGATTACGATGAAAGTTCAAAACTCAATTCACAATTTTCCTCCTAATCCCTAAGTTCAATTTAATGGCGAAAGAAACTCCAAGGCAATAAAAATTGAATGTAACAAACTCCAATTCTCTCAAAATTCAATTCTCCATAATTTACCACAATATTTCCAATTTATCCATTTTCCAGTTCAACCCGGATCGTGACGGAAGTCACTCAATGCAGCAGCCTGCAAAAATTCGATTTCACCCAGTTTCACAACTGCAGCCACTACCACGGAGAAAATTATTCCTCCGTTCCCTGTCTACAGAAGGACGGCTCTCAGAAACTCGACCACCGGCGATCTGCCGGTCACCGCAGAGGGCAAACAACGCCGAAAACCGCCGGCAGCGCGAATTTCTCTGATGTCTCTGGGTCACGGACGTTTCTTCACGCACACAGGCAGGTGAACAAACGGCTTGGCCGGCTTGGACAAACGCGTGGGCTCGCATGCAGGAGAGCATGAACACGGAGCACCTTCGATTCGAGTCTCCTCCGCTGGTTGGGCATACCGATCTTCATCGTCTCCCCACCTTGGCCAGCTCTTCCGGTACTTCATCCGACTTCGCTATGCATGTATATATAGCCAGGATCCTTGCTGGATATATATAACAGTATGTTCCTGGCTATCGAATCGAGCTGATCGAGAAAGAAACAGAGAGGAACACCTGGGATCCACCATGCAGTTTAGAATCAGTGTAAGAACCAAGGAGATTCGTGTCCGACGAGACAACGTGCTGGACTTTTGGGTGATATGGAACTGTGACGGATGGACTCGATAACGCGATCGTGATACGGTTTAGGGAGTTTGATGTTGTTGATGTTATTATCTGTGATATATTTTGGATTTGGGGGTATGGGGGTTGGATGACGGAGTGGTGAAGTGCGTTTACTCTTTATGGTGTCAGGATGGTACAGTAGAATCGGGTTATTTTAACATGACGATTATTATGATTCGTGACAGATCGTAATTATGCAAAAAGAGGGAGATGATTTGCTGTTTCGGGAATGATTCGTTCCGTTATGTTGATCATTCTTGGACGATTCGAACAGATATTGAAAATATCATGGTGATAGAGACAGTTCATTCTTGAATATTCTTATAATGTCTCATTATTCGTGTGTTCAATATTCTTCGGTACTCTTCGGTCCTCTTGAATATTTAATAATCAAAGACTTTCGAGGTTGTGAATTATAACTAGAAAAACAAAATTTATGATGCATAAAATTGTCGTTTCGCATTCTCTTCGTAGGCTTCTTAAACCTATTATTACTCGAAACTTTCGAGTAATCCTGATATTAAATTATACATGTGCCATCGTCGCGTATAATCTTTTATTAATTTCTTTTAATTCTTTCTATCTTCCCTATCTTTAATATTATAATATTAATTTATTATTTAATATTATAATATTAATTTATTATTTAATATTATAATATTAATTTATTATCTAATTTATTCTTTAACCTTTTACTATTTATCTAATTTATTATTATCTATTTATTAATTTATTATCTAATTTATTCTTTAACCTTTTACTATTTATCTAATTTATTATTATCTATTTATTAATTTATTATCTAATTTATTCTTTAACCTTTTACTATTTATCTAATTTATTATTATCTATTTATTAATTTATTATCTAATTTATTCTTTAACCTTTTACTATTTATCTAATTTATTATTATCTATTTATTAATTTATTATCTAATTTATTCTTTAACCTTTTACTATTACTTTAACCTTTTACTAAAACGTAGTCATGTGTATAATTCTACAGCCCAATTTCTTCCCATTTGCAGGTGAGGTTCTTGATCTTCTCGGCGACGTTGACCGTCGCGCTGGCCACGTTCGGCAAAGAACAGTAAGTACACAGTGTAGCGTGTACCACAGTTGACCGTGAACGACATTAAAATCCCATTGTCGTGACAACGATAATGAGCCTAACACTCGCACGGAAACCGTGCAATTTTCCAGCGTGCACATCAGAATCCACATACCGGAGATCATTCAGCATGACGAGAAGAAGATTATTAAGTACGAGGAGGATCACGGTGGACACGATCATGGAGGAGGAGGTGGCGGTGGCGATCACACTGTAATAATCACTTCGCCTGGAGGGGGCCACGGAGGTGGATTTGGAGGAGGAGGTGGATTTGGCGGAGGGCACGGGGGTGGTGGTTTCGGAGGAGGTCACGGAGGTCACGGAGGTGGATTCTCTAGCTTCGGGGGTGGTGGTGGCGGAGGATTCGGAGGTAAAGATTTCAATTGGAAACTTTAACCAACAAAGAAAGTGACGCAACTCAAAAAACGTAATTGCAGTTAATACTAATGTATGAAACTATACTGATATATGAAAAACGTTGGAGGCAATCCTTCATCGATTGTGAAAATCTTATTCATCGAGCTTTATAATTTGATCGGTAAAAATTATGTTGTTCTGTCTTTCATGGTATTCTATATATAATATTCTATATAATCTCTAATTCTATATACAATAAGGTATTCTATCTCTTGTGAATTTTCTCTTCACTATCACTGTGAACAATGCATACTGATGAAATAAGAAGTGTATCACTTTGAATTGCATTGTTTCTTCAATTTTCAAAGTAATATCTAATTTCAATCAAAATCAGTTTCCTCGTTTCTCTCGAAATTTATTTATATTTCCTCGAATTGTGTCATTTTCTCTTCGCAAGAGTACGATATATATATCGATACCGATGTCTCAATGATTGAAATTTCAATTTTTAATTGCAAAATAGTACGAATATCTATTACTTAGTCTTCCAGCATATGAATAGCTTTCTATCTGAATGATTCATCTTTTAAACTTGGTTTAGACTGTCTTAGAGGTAACTTGCAAATATTACAAATTCGTTTCCAAAGTGTTTAAAAAAAGGAATAACGGCGTGAAAATACAAAAGGATGCTAAGGGAGCATTTATTCTAAGAAACAAACATGATTTCCTTGTTATTCACGAATTAGAATTTTAACCAAAGAAGATTAAGATTTTCTGCGAAACATTGTCTGTCCACCATCTCAGATCAAAATTCACAATTTGCAACGCAATCTAATATCATCTAATTCCAATGGAGGAAAAATGACATAATGACTGGTTTTTTGCAGCTTGCCAGAATTCCCCATGAAATATTAATATAATCGAAAAATATTACGAAGAATATCAGAAGATTGTGACTGTATTTTCCAATCTACAGATCTAATACATGTACAATTAGGGTATCTCCTCGCTGCTACGAAAGAGAAAATTCTTGATTGAGAAGTCAAAATCGTTGCATTTCTCGACTCATGAGCCGATAATGAAATGAAACATCTTCCCACGTTCTCTTTAACCAACAACGATATCTGGCTGATTTGCAGAGAATGCGTCCTCTGTTTCTTTCCTCGTGTTCCTTCGTCACTGTAGAACTTGTTTCGCGAGTTTTCACTTCCGGCTCGTTTCAGACTCGAGAATTCGTCTCGTATTCGTCTCGTACACACGCGCAGCATCACGAATCCTCGTTTATCCATCTGCATACGTATGTACGTACGTATTTCTCTGAACACTGCGATTCACTTTGCATGGTTGAACGTTGACCCTGATCTTCATAAAAGTTTCATTTAGCTCACCTTCCTTTCGTGCAATTTTAGGAAATATTACGACCGCGGAAAAATTTATCTTTTCTTTGACTTTCTAAAGGTTTATGGTCGTCAGAGATAACAAATTAGTTAGAATTAATTAAAGCTTTAAATTATTGAATTAAAGTTGTTGATTGTCACTGTTACAGACGAGTAAAAGAAAGTAAAAATAATATGTTTTTATTTTCTATAGATAACACAAATGTTAGGATAACACAAATATATTAGGATAATATATAATGCAAATATACAACGCAAATATAAATTAGGATAACACGAATATATAACATAAATATTAGGATAACACGAATATATAACATAAATATTAGGATAACACAAATATATAGGATAACACGAATATATAACATAAATATTAGGATAACAAATATACAGCACAAATATATTAGAATAACACAAATATAAGCACAAATATATTAATAATACAAATATATAACATAAATATTAGGATAACACAAATATATAACATAAATATTAGGATAACAAATATACAGCACAAATATATTAGAATAACACAAATATATAAGATAAATATTAGGATAACACAAATATATTAATAATACAAATATATAACATAAATATTAGGATAACACAAATATATAATATAAATATTAGGATAACACAAATATACAGCACAAATATATTAATAATACAAATATATAACATAAATATTAGGATAACACAAATATATAACATAAATATTAGAATAACACAATTATACAGCACAAATATATTAATAACACAAATATATAACATAAATATTAGGATAACACAAATATACAACACAAATATATTAGGATGACACAAATATTAATGTAACACAAATATACAACACTAATATACAACACAAATATATTCCATAGATAATACAAAGCTTTGCAATTCAATAATGCAAATGAATAATGGCCGATCCAACATTGGCGAATTATTTCCAAATAAACAGATTAAAACTATGTTTGCAGGTGGCCACGGAGACATCATAATATCTAGTCCAGGCGGTGGCCACGGTGGTGGAGGCTACGGAGGCGGTGGTGGTGGTGGATTCGATGACCATCACGGTGGCGGAGGATTCGGTGGCGGTGGTGGTGGATTCGACGATCATCACGGTGGCGGAGGATTTGGAGGTGGTGGTGGCGGAGGATTCGGTGGCGGCGGCGGTGGATTCGACGATCATCACGGTGGCGGAGGATTTGGAGGAGGCGGCGGTGGTTACGGAGGCGGTGGTGGATTCGACGATCATCACGGTGGCGGAGGATTTGGAGGAGGCGGATACGGAGGTGGTGGCGGTGGATTCGATGTACACCATGGTGGTGGAGGTTTTGGAGGCGGCGGTGGTGGATTCGATGGCCATCACGGTGGCGGAGGAGGAGGAGGAGGAGGCGGAGGTGGTGGATACGGAGGTGGTGGATACGGAGGTGGTGGCGGTGGATTCGATTCACACCATGGTGGAGGAGGTTTTGGAGGAGGCGGTGGATATGGAAGTAGCGGAGGAGGATATGATGATCACCATGGAGGAGGAGGAGGCTTTGGAGGTGGTGGATTCGGTGGTGGACACGGTGGTGGCGGTGGAGGTGGATTCCACGCATCTAGCTTCGGAAGCAGGTAATAAGATAACACTATTATCTGTTTTCGAATTTATCTTAATTTATTCGATAAAAGAATATATACATATATCTTTTATTATCTCGAACTAAATTGTACCACAGAACCATTCATGTGTAATAATCATTGCGAGCAATGTATTTTCTTCTAACTCACCAATTCATAAACGACTTTCATGAAGTTGAAAATGTTACTCGCGTTAATTTACAAGCACGTTGTGTCCTTTCCACGTAGTAACATCCGTCCATCGGAAACGAACAATTCATCGCAACGAATATAACGTGTTCCTACAATAGAGGAATAAAATGGCCAATAACAATAATTAATTTCTTGTTTCAGTGGCCACGGCGGAGGCGGAGGCGGAGGTGGATACAGTTCCGGCGGTGGTTATGACTCGTACTCGAGCGGTGGTGGTGGTGGTGGCGGCGGTCATGGCGGCGGCGGTTTCTCGGGTTACCACAAGAAAAAATAAAAACGGACCAATATCGCGTTTCCGATCGGTCGACGTTGACCGACTTTCGAGATCGTGGCGACCGAGTATTCCGCGTTCCCCTCGATCACGCGATCGTTAAACTCGTCACGTGTATCTCGATCGCGATCCATCCGAGTGTGACGCGCGACACTGCCAGCACACACGACACAGAACGCCTGTGATCGATTTCTGAACGATCGTTCCTTCGATTTCTCCCGATTCTCCCCGGGTGAGTGTTCCATTCCCAGACGACCATTTGTCATTTCCACTTTCGTTTTTGAACGAGCTCGCGCTCGTCATTTATTCGCCGTTGAACGCAGCAGAGAAAATGGAAAGTTTAGAAATTCGATCGATTCGGGATTAGTATCGTCATAACGTTCGCAGCGTCGATTTAGCATGTTAAACGAATCTGTCTGACGCGCCGTTTCTAAGAAGAATCGTTGGTAATCGTTGGATTCGCAGCGTTGGATAGCGCAATTTGCCGAGGGAAAATTTAGAAACAAGGAAGAATAGTTCGTTCAACTTCGTGCAAACTCTGCACGACGTTTTAGCTTACTTTTTAATGTCTACTCGCGTGCGTTTCGCAACCACGACGCATCTACCTGATTGTTTTATTCGTTGCAGTTATTGTATATATCATACGTTGTGTAAATACTCCTCTTTCTACTGTTATTTTTTAATAAATTGTTTTGTATTTGCGTTTTGTAAGTTGTGATTGTTCTTTTTCATGTTCCTGAAACACAAAGGAGAGACTGTCGTATCAGTTTTTTGCTCTTGCAAAATGATCACTAGAAACGTCACGAACAATTTGTCACGACCTCAACGTTTGTGTACAATCTATCTATTGCGTAAATTTACCGTGGCAATCAACAGATTATAAATTAGACAATAATCCGAATTTTTTCGATAAAATTGTGTAATTATTGTATCTAACTTTTTATAGTATCTTATAGAGAGCTAGATACAATATCTACAGTATCCTGTTTATAAATTCGTCATATAATGGATCTTCCAAGCTACCAAAATCGATATAACCTTATTAGCTAATAACTTTGTAAATTAATTAAATTAAATTAAATAAAAAAGTAAATTAAATAATGGTCTCTTAACAACACGCTTCGTCATCAAGTTTAAGATTTAAGACTCGTTGAAAATGCTACAAAAAGTCTAGTAAATGCCTAGTAAATATATTCATACGTAGAGAATCGATGTAACAACCACGACGTTCCCACGATTTCGAACCAACACGGTCGTTAATTATCGCAGGAAGTAATTAACCAGGCAAATTAATCGACCAAACATCGAGTGCGAATACACGGTGTTTGCGGATTTGTTCCACATAATGGAGTGATTTTTCTCGGGCGATAAGTCGTCGGCGAATGCAAAGGATTAGTTCGAAATGGAAAGTAAGAGAGTAAATGTTACGGAAAGTGAAAGAGAGTAAATGTTACGGTGTACAGAGGAGGACGATTTCTCTCGGTCACTTGTACGTGTTTGTGTGGCAAGTGACACGGATGTTGCCCTTGATCCACAATGGTCTCTGGATCAATGATCTCGTTTAAGCAATTCGAGCAATTAATATGACGTTTTTTATAATCGTGAGGTCACATATGTCTGTACGAAAGGAAATTTAACAAAGTTTGGAATTTCAATTGGGAATTTTAGAAATTTTAATTTCAAGTTTCGAACGAGAATGTAAGTTTAAAACAGAAATAAGAAGTATACAGTGTGACTCCATTTATGTAAATTTCATTTTTTTTTCTTTTCTTTTCTTTAACCAAATTTTAATCCTCAATTAAGTAAAGTTTTGCTGATTGAATCCACTTTGGTGAATGAAAAAAATCATCAATAAATTCCTACTGATGAAAAATTTATGCGAACTTCTGTTTTGGTCCGAAAAAGGAGGTTTAAAAAGTCTGCGGAACACTTAATATTCTGTAAAGTCACAAAATACTATGAAACGTGTGATACTTTCGAAATGGCAAGTGATAAAACTCGTTGAATTCACGTAGAATGTTATGATGTAGAACAGGATATTCCTGTTTATTAAAGAGTGATCATTTGCATAACAATGTGAAAGTCAACAGATATCAGGAATTATAGAGTATCTCCTTGCTAGAAGAAAATAAAGAACCTTACCTTAAATGGATCGATTCCATATGAAATGAAAATTAAACTTTCTACCCTGGGATCTTGCAAAAGTACGTTTTCGACATTCTTCGCTTCCCGACGCAGTTATTAATTACGCTCACGTACCACCAAAGGAACAATGTGTGATTAATTCAAGCCATTCATTCGGATTTCCATTTAGTATTCCAGAAGATTCTGCGTAATTTATACGAGAGGTATAAACACTGTATTCACAAGCGTCAGTAAAACAATATTTTGGAATCGATAGAACGTCATTAAGTATTATAATATAGAATATTTTTATTATTAAGTATTATGATATAAAATATTTTTATTATTAGGTATTATAATATAGAATATTTTTATTATTAAGTATTATGATATAGAATATTTTTACTATTAAGTATTGTAATATAGAATATTTTTACTATTAATTATAATATAATATAAAATATTTTTACTATTAAGTATTATAATATAAAATATTTTTACTATTAAGTATTATAATATAGAATATTTTTACTATTAAGTATTATGATATAAAATATTTTTACTATTAAGTATTATAATATAGAATATTTTTACTATTAAGTATTATAATATAGAATATTTTTACTATTAATTATAATATAATATAAAATATTTTTACTATTAAGTATTATAATATAGAATATGTTTTATAATATAGAAAATGTAGTATCGTCGTATATCTTGATAAACACAAAAACTGGGAAATTATTGTACAAAGAAAAGTACAATATTATAATTTTTTATAATATTTTATAATATTGTAATTTTCAATATCATAATTTTCTCTACTGGAATTTCTGTTTAACGTGTTAAAAATATTAAGGTAGTAACATTATACAGTGAACACATTGTGAAAGAAGTCCGATTTTAAAGAGGAATTCGATTAAAAAGGAAATAAAAGATATGATTCTCCGTACTTTCTTCGTACCATCGGCGTAGAACAATCGACAATCGTTAAATCACGATCACGTTGAATGCTTTTTAGAAATTTCTTTCATCGCCGAACGATCCCAATCGATAAAATCTCTAACAGACGTCTGACAGAAAATTACCAGAAAGTGGCAATTGCGCGTTTAAGATGAGGATTATGGTTGTAAACGGCACGTTACGACAATGTGATATTACTCTGATCGCGGTAACGGAAGACAGAGAAAGTGAGCGCGAGTTCCAGAAAGATCGAAGGGTCATTTCACCGTTCCATCTTTTTTTCCTTTCCTTCTCCTTCGTGAAAATCGCTGTAGCAAGACAGTATAGGCGAACGAGATTGATTGCAACTTTCTATCAGTTCGATCGAACGTTAAACATTCGTTCAATCAATGAACGTAAATGATTCATTGAGGAGGAAATAATAGATAGTTTCGAGATGTTCGATTATGCGAAACGTTTCCTGGTGAAATGGGTGTCTTTAACCTCGTGAATTAACGTAATGTCGATAGTAAAGTATTTAGAGAGTAGTAGCTCGCTCGCTAATTTGTTAGAATAGGCAACGCAATTGATTACAATACAAATTATGGTAACAAGAGACATTGTAAAATGGCCAGTTAGCAAATACGATTATGTAAACTATGTTGCAGCTCGCGACTTTTCGTGCTGAGGATATAAACACATCTCTCTCTCTCTCTCTCTCTCTCTCTCTCTTTCTCCAAGATATCTGGTATTTAATACAAATTCCAACATTTTTGTTGGTTTATGAAGTAGTACTATTAAAAAATATCACGTGGATGAACACTTTGGAGTTAAAATTGTCCCTTGGAATTCTCTAAGAAAATGTTCTTTTAACATAATCTTCTTCGAAAGATTCACGAAACTACTTTCTTTCTCAATAAATAACGACTCTGTTAAATAAAGTATATCTGATCTCTAAATTATACCTCACTGATCTTTTTCTTTTCTTTTTTTTTTTTTTTTTCCTGAAACATCTCAAAGATTACAAAGGAAACAAAACTATGCGATTCTCACACGCGAGGCAATCCCTTTCACACGAGGGACAAGTCGGTGTCTACGACAATGATAGAAGGGGCACGTGAAATTTCACGTAATCTCAGGTGAGAGTAAGCACAGGGTTGGGTGGGGTGCACGCAGGAACTATTTCGCTCATTTCTGTACCGTTCACTGATTATGCTTCCGTTTATAAGGCTTGACAGGATCCCGGCTTTTAGTCCCTGAAACGCAGTAGCCTCGGAACACGCTCGGACCTCAACGTCTCGAAGCAGAAAATGGCGAAACTCCGAGCGCAAGTGGGTGTTGTTCGCCTTCGTTTTCCCTTGGGTGACCTTGCGTTACTTTGGCGGAAAAAGTCGCGTGTTTCTTAAAGATACTACATACGAGAATGGATCCTAAATATTCGTAGTCCTTCGAAAGTGTTGTGTTTTTTTTTTTTTTTTCTTTAGTTTAACCCCTTGGCTACGGCATTTCTGAGAAGATATATTAAAATAATTAAAACACTGAATGCCACTACATTAAACCAATATTATTTATTTATTCGTATTCTGCATTGAATTGTTAGTTCACGCATTAAAAATTTTAATATTGACGTTATGCTCGTGTCAGCGGACCCAAATAGGTTAAGCGCCCTTAGTATTATAAGAGCAATTTTTTAAGGTGTCTACAGTATCACAAACGCAAATTTTCCAAGCTTCTTCAGACGCCAACAGTAGTCATTTGACCAAATGTTTGGTGAATATGACGAGTTTATCAATAGCAGAGAAAGATAATTGTTTTCTATTTTCTTGTGAAAGATTATATTTATATCAATATCGGTTTAATTTCAATCTGTTTTTTGATGATGTTGTTAAGAAAAGTGGCAACCTCGACGATTTGATAATTTCACCATTTAAAAACACTGGTCTGATGTTTCCATCAGAGCTCTTAACTTGACGAAACTTTTCGATTTCTGAAATATTTTATAACCTTCCGTGCAAAATCTATTTACATCATCATCTTAGGAATAATATATTATTATATTTATTTTCCAGGCTTTCCTTCTTGTCCTCGTCGTTTCAATCGTCCTGGTAGCTTCGACGCCCATCCCCGGCGGCGGTCACCACGAACAGTAATTATTTACCAATCGATAAAATCACAATTACATTTTACATCGTGTTCGATAACATTTCGTTTTCTGCAGCACGCATTTCATCATTCACGTGCCAGAATTGATTCACAAACACCACCACACGCATGTGAAGAAGATTCACATAAAACACGAGGAAGAAGATGACGGTGGTCACCAGCACATAGAGGAATGGTGAAGTTTGCGTCATGTTCCTCAATTGTGCAATTATTATTATATTATGTAATACTTCTTAACTAATTAATTGGTTGTTACTGTATTGTAATTATTGATTGTTTTGTTGCAAACTTGTGTTATGTTAATAAAATGCTTGGCAAAGCTTTTGCAGTAAAATTTTGTCACGTTCCCCTTTGCCAATGGAGATTTCGCAAAGAAACGAGATCTTAGGTATTCGAAAAGAATGTACGTGATACTTCTCAGACACGTGTATTGTATAAAAAATAAGATAACATTACAGTATGTACAAGTATCATTAATCTAAATACACGTATGTGCATACCAAGTGATGTTAGTTCTATATTACAGACTTATGTGACTAAAGATGCAGGCGGTTCAAGTTATACTTTGTACTAGTCCTTTCTTGTATTTTCCGGCGTCATACTTCCGAGAACGATTTGATTGAGCAAAAGGGTAGAGGTTTCACGAAAAATTCTATCAGTAACCCGAATGCCTTCATTTTATAATATAACCTGCAACAGATCGACAAGAAAAGTCCTTTGGTCCTTCCAGATGCTGCGTGCGGAATTTTCCTACTCGACTCTAATTTAAACCTAGTCCTTTCGAATTCAAATATTTTGCCACTTGAATCGTTCTCTCCTCCCCCCACAATTTTAAATCGTTGCAACGATTGTAGCGACTATAAAGTAAAAACTATAATGGCGCAAGTCTGTTCATCTTTAGTCTATTTTTCAAATCTAACTATTTAACTATAATTTTCAGCCTATTATTTATGTCTCTCTAAATATTATATCTCTAAATAAATTTTTTATATCGTTAACGCTACGTTCTTTTTTTTTTCTCGCTTGTTACAACGAAGTTTATGAAAAAAAATATTTAAATGTTCATTTGAATCTCATTAACGTAAAGGAAAGATTTCTCTTGTTTCAATTACCTAAATAATAACAAGCCGAAGAGCGAAGCGCTCTCGTTACCACCATTTTTCTTCGTGATCTATCTTGACAGGTACAGGAACCTTCTCGACAATCGGAACAGGCACGTGAACCTTTTCGATGTGATGGACTGGCACTGGAACTGGCACCTTTTGCACGTGATGGATGGGAACTGGAACAGGAACGTGCACCTTCTCTACGTGATGCACCGGCACCTTCTTCACATGATGATGATGGACCGTATGCACGTGATAAGGCACGTGGATGCGGACGTGTTTGTGCGAACTGTAATTACACAATTGATTTTCTTTCGAACGAGATGACTGCTCGTCCCTCCTCTATTCCTATTTAATCCTCTATGAAAGCGTTAATTCATTGAATATTATAATTTTTTCTCTTTAATCTGGCGCCTGAAATAGTTGTAGTAACAACATTAAAAAAATACGTAACATACGTATTAGACTTTTTGGGAGAAGATTTTTTTGAAGAAAAAAATTTGGAGAAAATAGGTTTGATATATATGAATTTTAGTTTTCATTTGCGGAGACAATGTTAGGTGATAATTAGAGGATTTTCAGTTTCGTTTGACAACTTACCTGTGGCCTGGTACTGGCGAAGACAAGCCCACGGCCAATATTCCGAACACGATTAGCTGCAACACGAATGTGAATTTGTGATTCGTCGATAAGGCGAGAAGTGCGTCGTGACGCGATGCATCGCGCCATTTATATGCGCGGCGTCGACTTTTTTTCTCTCTTCTTTTTTTTTTTTTTTTCAAAGTTTCACTACTCGCTTCGCGCAATCACGCGGTTCGACAGGGTGAAAGTGCCTCCAATACTAATTTTGATTAAACAATCATCGAAAGGAATTTACCAATTATTATTAACTGACCATCGTTACAATCATTGATAGAAAAAACAAAAACAAAAACAAAATATATAAAAAAAGAACAAAAGTCAAGAAGATTTCTATGATCAAAAATTTCGTTCCAAACCAAATTACCAACAAAATCACCAAATGACAATTCACCAAATAATTACTTTCAAAATCGATTCACTGAGGGTTTTCATGTCAATTATAAAATACATTTTCTCGGGATTATATAGCACATCGTCCGAGTCCACAATAGTCGTCGATTCACAAGGGTGAATAGGCCCCAATCACATGGCCGAACGATCTACTCACAACGGTGATCTGGAAGCGCATCCTGCTCGGCTGTTTATTATCTCTCTTCTCTTCTGAATCGGTTACAACCTTTCGCTCGGCTCGGCTCTCGGCTCGACACGAACGAGAAAGAAACGACAGGAGGAAAGAGAATCGAAACGAAACGAATTAAAGCTCGATGGTCGGCGTCGATCCACCACGCGAGACCAATGTTTTACCGATGTCGATACGTTTCTGGCTTTGAACGGCCGGGGATATGTGCTTATAAAGGACGAACCGAAGTGGCCAAAACCACCCGGTGAAAAGATCACAGGGTGGGAGAGCTAAAGTCGCTCGGCTTTACGGTTACGTAAAAGCTAGGAAACAGCCGGCTCTCTGGTTACGTTCGTTCCGAGCATTCCCTCAAGCCTGCGTAACACCACTGCGTACGCCACGTGTCCGGCTACACTCGATACAATCTACTTGGGGTTTAGAAATGAAACGCTCCGCCAGTAATTACGATATTAATTCGCTTGGGGAGCCAGACAGTTTCATCGTTACGTGGACGCAGATCGTGGAAAATGGTCGCGCGTGTGCGCGTTCAACGCGTTTTCTCAATTATGGGTGAATCATCGGCGAAAAGTGGCTTTTCCCCGAATTTTCACGAATCCCCTGTGAGCACGTGTGCGATAGTTAGGCTCGTTGAACCTTGAAAGCGGAGGGATGAGTTTTAAGCGTTTTGTTGAGACTTGGTGATAAGTGAGCGGAAGAAGAATTTGTGAATTTTATCATCGGAGGTGAAAGAAGAATAGAAGATGGTACGTGTTTGAAAAATGAATAGCAATCGTTTCTACTTTATCGTGCATTTAAATTTAAATTAGGAAGTCTATTTCTGTCTCTGAAGAAATTATTCTAACGGAGAGAGAAAGAAATCTTTTCTAACGAAGAAAAAGAGTGGATGCAGATGAAACGCATCCGGTGCCAAGATTCGCAGAAAAGGATGCTAAATGTTGAAGATTGGCGTTCATTGCATAAAGAAAAATTTATGTCGAACATATATCATTCGTTGCCACGTAACTGGTTGAAAAGACATCGGCGGAATTTTTGTATTACGTGATCGATTTCACTCAAAAGGTTTGCAAAAATTATGTGTCTCGTGCTGTATCTTAATCAGGCATTTATAAACAAATAAATGATTAATAAATAACAAACGTACACTTTCTACTTTCCAAATTACTATATTATCCACAAATGAAACGATACATAAATTAAATATCATTGACTGATTTTCAATTATTAATCGCTATGACAAAGTATAATATTAGCACTTTCTACCTATCTTAGATTAACATATCCAATAATTTTCTGCAGAAAAGAGAAATTCAATTACGTATGATCGAAACAGTGTCGAAATATCGTAAACGGTCCAATTTTAGCCATATAATAATCAGCGTAAAGGAAACGGTATCTAAATATATGCAAGAAACAAGTTCATTGCTTGGCATATCGCAAATGTAGTTCAACGCAAGTCGACTGGAACTTATTAGGAGTGGAACAAGAAAATTATATTATCGGAAACGTCTAATGGACGATTGTCATCAAACAACACTTAGCGCTTTATTTTGTTTCTTCTACTACAAAGTTGCGAAACTTCTCTCTTCCGGCCGATAATTCGATTTACCATTTCCCGTTCTACATAGCGCGTCTAAATGGTCTACGTCAGATAGTTTTTTAGTGTTTCTACTCTCCCAACTACTAAGTTTCCAAAGTACAAGTAAAATAACCAAACTAATGTTTCTAGACCGCGAATTTTCATTTCCTCGTCCATTTCGTCGCGTTAATCGAGCGAGAAAGACGGGAATGCAAATCAAACGCAACGTTCTTACACGCATTTGCAACACTCTAACTTCACTGATTCCAATTCCTCCATCGTTTGACTTCACAGGCATGCGGACGTTTTATTTAACAGGCGTGCTATTGACACTGTTCATGGAATGTACGAATCTCAAGCGCTAATTTCCATCAAAGTTTTCACAGATACGTGTTAGAAGAACAGATTGTCAGTTTTCAAACGATCGATTAACATGATCAATCGCGTGGAAAATCACGATTTTAACAACTATCGTTAGTTATGTATTTCTGCTGAAAACTCTTAAAACAACGCTTCGATATCTGATATCGATTATAATTGTTAAATTATATATATTTTTCAGTATTAATATTTGATTTTGTTGTATACGAAGTTGTGTCGAAAATTTCCCTAAGATTTCTGAACGAGGATAAACTTAATCGTATCGAAACTTTGTAACTTGCATGTTCAATTATCACCAATCAATTTAGTTACGTGAGAATTCTCGCTTTCGTTGCATAGAATGCAAAAAAAGGATAACAGAAGGAAAAGATGTAATACCTAATAATAAGCTCAGATTCCGCCGACATTTCCGGTGAAATACATCGAAGCAATAGAGCTTGCTTTCTAACCGAGTTGGCCTCGGTTGTTTTACGAAAGAAGTGTTAAGAGCAAGGTAACGATCAGAAGACCACGGCCCTCGCTAGTGTAATATCCTTTTTTTTCTTCTTCTTCTTTCGCGTGCACTGTCAGCCCAGCCAGGAAGTGGTGCAGTTCGCATACTTAAAATATCCGTCATACAGGGAGAAAGCGTTTCGTAATCCTCCACTTCATATCTTACGAGCTGGGTGCACTCGGTGATTCGTGGGGCAAGGCGAGAAAAGGACCGATCATCATCGTGATATTGAGGAGATCCAGAGTCGCCGAGATTACGCAAGAATCCTTCTGCATGTGTATTACAAAGTGATCTGAAATGAATCAGACGGCCTGTTACGGCACAAATTTAGCAAAAAGGAAAGGAATATATTAATGGAAGAAATTTACTTACTAGTACAATAGAAATGTTATTTAATATTTCTTTAATATAAAAAGTTCGTGGAATTTATGACTTTCTCTAGATTTTCATTCATATGATGTACATTGGTATAAATTTATGTTTGAGTAATAACGTAATGTATCATTTAAATTAAACTTACAATTTGCAATAAATGAACTTCGCCATTACCATAGAAGATTCTCAAATAATGCCGGAGCCCCTAACTATATTATTTTATAATGGAATTAAAAGCTGAAATGGTTCTCAGAAACGAATAGTCTATACTTAAAGATTACTAAAAGTTGTGGTTGCGGCATTGTGGATTATATTGCGAAAGGATCTTTCGTTTTCTTGACATTATTGCCCAAGATTTATTTCTTTATTTGTCGTTTTGAGCCACTGCACGCCTCCACAAAAAGAAGGCCCGTTTGCAAGAGACCTGAGAAATCCTCTTCGTTGCATAACAGTGTATTCCAGTTTCGTAGCAATAAACAAAGATAGGGCATAGAGGCTGTCGAACAACGATGACGAAAGGATTAGGAAATTGAAGCACAAAAAGATGGTAGGAAAGAAAATGGTATTGCGGCACATTTTGTATTTTCGATGTACCGGTGATCGTTGCCCGTTTACGTAAGGATCTACTTGCAATCATCCCCACCGTGTTCCAAAACGTTACTACCTCTTCTGTCTCGTGAAAGTCACGTCGCCAGGCCGATTTTGAGGGAAATATGCTTCGGTTAGCGTGTGACAAGAGAAAATGAGGAACGTGTCCGATGAAAGTCAAACGTTGGAATCGATCCAACGTGTAGCTCGTGGAACGCGACATAATCATAAATGCCTGGTTAATTGTTCGATCGATTTATCGAAACCGGAATTAAAGCGATCAACAGTGTACCGAGCTTGTTGTACTGTATCAACCTTGTTACGAGACTTTCTTTCTTTTGGTCATTACATATTATATAACCATGGTTCCGGAAGGAAAATCCTGAGTCCGATATTTTATACATTGCAGCTCGACAAGATACATCGATCTTTGTTAAGCAATAGACACTATTTTCCAATAAGCAGCATTAGTACGTGATAAAACAGTAACATGTGGCATAATTAAATTTTTATACGAGCGATTCGGCCAGTGAGCTTATTAAACGATGATCTTTATTCTTATTTTAACTTATGTATGTATATATACAAATGTAAATGCAATCTGATGGTACGAGCATTATTTTTACTTAGTATATGTGGAATATATACATTAGAATAAGTGGAATTATATACATTAAGTATTCTATTTATAATCTATATTGCTGATCAAGTGGAAAATATTGATTCATTCAGCACTTGTCACATATACTTTCATCCATTGCTTTCACAGTCGTACACTAAGTACATGGCTTAGTTATAAAAAAAAATACAAAAGAATTTGTGCGCTTTGAATCATTATCAAATATTGGCATATGATAATTATTGCTAATAAAATTTTATCAAGTACAACTGGAATAAACTATTTCTTCTTTTTCAGTTTGGTAGTAACTCCAGACTGTGGTTTCTGCCATTCTAAAGGCTTATGGCGATACATGGGCCACGGGGGAACTGTTATTAAAGCAGCCATCGCAAATCCTGCACCGAGGATGTACATTGTTTGTGAAAATTGTTGAATAACGTACCCCCATATTAATCCAACTATCTGTAAAAGAAATCACTTGTAACTTTAAATAAATTCTGTACATCACGATACTTTTAAAAATAATATTTTACCGCAAAAAGTGTTATCACGACCCTTGATAATTTTTCCGCTCGTGCCTGACCATCATAGTCCTGCAAAAAATTAATATTATAAAAGAAATAAAAATATCATATTATAAGATATTTAATCATATAAAAATAAAAATATTTGACTGATTTTTGACATATGGTAACACATAACCTAACTACGAAGAAGACAAAATACTTGACAAAAACAGTCAGATTTAATAATGAAGTAGCTCTAATTAAAGATCAATTTGGAAGCTCACCATGTGAGTTTGCATGGATTTAACATACTGTAACCATGAACTCATTGTAAACAAATTATGCGAACCGTTTCTACCACGTAACAAACTACAGTTATGAATCTTGACTTATAAGTTGGCAATTGTTACTGTTCGTGTGTTAATCGCTTGTAGTGGTAGTTGTTCGGCAGCGCCAACTTTAACGAAGTTGCAAACAGTGTAACGGTTATTTGATGTGACATAAGTTTGTGATTAAGTGTGTTATGTTTTAAATAAAAGAAACATCAATGAAGATAAACTTTCACAGCCGTATTTTAAACTTTCATCGTGTGAGTAAAAGTTTTTACAGATAGAAAACAATAGTTATAAATTTGAACAGATATAAATTAATAGCTATGAAATAATTCAATTCCGTAAGGAAACGAGCGTTCGATTGATCACACTTGAAAATGCTAAAAAATAATATTAGTAATACGATTCGAATCAACGTTTGTAACTTTATAATTTTCTTAATCGAATTCTGTTGTACAATTTCTTTGGTTTATCAGTTTACGGATAAAACGTGCGCAAATGTTACGTGCATTGTACTTTCTATCGTTTCCAAGTGCAAATTTCTCCATTAAAATTCAATGGAATCTGATACTGATATATTACGTCTAGGGAATAAAAATTCAAAAGCCGATTATCATATATACGCGTATCTATATCAATCCTTAAATTAAGTTAGTTACTACTTACGAAAAAATACGTAAGTTATTATACGAGATCTCAAATTATACGTTAATTTGAAATTTTGTCTTTAAATTCTTTCACGTTGCTTCCCCACCAACGAACATGCGTATCGTTGACAGAGGTTGCAGTCAGAATTAATATCATAGTTCGTGACAGAGATTGTGTTGCTGATTAGTTGAAATAGAAACTATTAATGAGGATCGGTCAACTTTTTCGTAGTATAGACAATACCGTGTCATCATCGTTATTTAGAAAACGCATTTCTAAAGTCATGCAATGGCGTAGCTATCGATTGTTGTAACAGTTGAAGGAGAAACCGTGTCACGTGGTACATGTCTGACCGCACTTTTGCTTGCACGGAATTCAAACGAGATTTAAATAAAAACTCAAAGGTGTTGCTGTGTTATGAGAATCAAACGAGAAAATCAATACACTGGAATTACAAAATGTTTGTTCCGCAATGTGAATACATATTATTTCATTTTAAACGTTCTCGCCTTCCAGAATTGAATATCAAGCAATCGATTGAAACATTTAAACTGTATGATAATCGATCTAGTAAAATCTTTTTATTTCAATTGATAAAGTTTGACGACTAATATAATCGTAATACAATCGTTAGAAGCAGTAATCCTTCTTATTACAATCTTAATAAATTATACAATCATAAATATATGTTTTTCAATAAAAAGTAATATCTGAAACATTTTTCCTTTGGACCAACAAGTATTATTATAATACTTTGTAACAAAATATTGTTAAGTACAATTACAAGTGGCAACAAATTATTTCTTCTTTTTCTGCTTAACTGTAACCTCAGATTGTGGCTTTTGCCAATCCAAAGGTTTACGACGATACATAGGCCAAGGTGGTACTGTGATCAAAGCTGCTAGTACAAATCCTGCGCCAAGTATATACATTGTTTGTGAAAATTGATGAATAACATATCCCCAAATTAATCCAACCACCTGCAAATAAGATGTATGTTATCTTAGAAAGTCAAGTTGAATATCAATGTCTCTAGCATAATATCCAACCCCAAATAGTGTTATGATGACTCTTGATAACTTTTCTGCTCGCGCTTGACCATCATAGTCCTGAAGAGAAAAATATTTTAATTACACGTCTTATTGTACGAATTTGTGAGTGCATATAAGCATCTGTGTGATACAATAACATAACCTAACTATAATTGAAAACGCTTTTCAAATGTAGTAACATTACTTTGAAATCAATTTGTAAACTCACCATATGCGTGGGGATAGATTTAATATATTGCATCCAAGAACTCATTTTAAAATAATGACAGTTACTTGCCGGTCTATTCGCATAAACAAGTTTTTGTTTAGACGTGGATTTATACGTAAGATGTGACGTTAGCGCATGCGCCGAAACTTACCATTTTCACGTGGCGCGAATTGCGAGAAATTTAAATAATTTCGAGCATGTTTTTTGAAGTATTCTAATTAATTTTATGAATTTTAAACTAGATATTTAGGAGATTAGGTTATTAAATATTCTAGAACTGTGTTTATAAATATTATTTATTTCAACATTTACAATACACAATACTATTCATTTCAACATTTTATAATACACAAAATATCACTTGTTACAATAAAACAAGAATACTGTACTTGAAAATATCATTCGGTTCTCACGTCCAATTCTAAGTTTTATTTGCTAGAACTAGCATTTTTTTTTTTTTTAAATAACTTTTAAAAACATAGTGAAGCTGAAATTCTTCACAAATCAAGCAAGATGAATTTATAACACTTCAACTTCGACACTTCGATGTACTCGTCATTGACAAATTTACAATCATGGTCGTCTGTTTTCCAAGTTCACATCTACAATTTCTAAATATCCACACATCTCCTCGTCAAACGAGTGCGATACATTTCTCTAAAAATAACATGGCAGTGGAAACTCTCAATCGAGCGCGTCAATTGAAAAGTTCTTCCCTGGGAAGCATGAATGAACCTCGCCACATTCTGTCGCGATTAGTATTCCCAATCAGAGCCTGGCGATAATTGTGTCTTCGTACGTCGGCGAACTCCATGTTAGCTCGGTGTTGCATTTTGCAAAATGCACGGCATCTGCCACGGTGGGGAAGGCGGCAAACAGGCTACCTTTGTATTCCAACAGGTTGCACTTTCTCATCATCTCGTATACAGGTCCTATAATGTGTTCAAATCGTCGTATGTATCGCGTCGCGTATCGATCGAAACTACGCTCGCTTCCGGTTTGATCACGCGGTTCCGTGTCGCGATTCTACTCACCGGAACACCCAGCAATGTATACCGGTATATCGATTTCAGAATAGTCGTTGATCAGGTTTCCTAGGGTCGTTGCGCCCGCCAGATCCACGTGACTCATCGAGCTCAGATCTAGTATCAGGATCCTCAGCTGTACACGACGAGGAAATTAATTTTCTTTGAAAGTAGGTCGATAGTTTTTATGAGATTGGATACTGTTCTTTTTTCTTTCTTTTTTTTTTATTTAAAATAAAAAAACAGTAAGACAACATAACGAGTCTAATAGCTTTATAAGAATATGATTTTGCACAATTGTGTTATTGGTATTTGATGTCACATGTACGATACGCCTCACCTTTCTAACTTCCTTCAACTCGCCATGTTCGAAGTCCTCATTCGGTTCCTTCCTCGGCGCCTGACCAGCAATTTTATACACTTCGTCGCGGAAGTGTTGCCGACAGGCGAAGTTCAAGCTACCCGAGTAATGAAATATTCTTATACCCGCCAGCTCTATTGTCTGAAAATACGACTTCCGTGTTAGCGGATTCGTCCCAGGCTCGTTTCAGCCTGTACCGCCTCGAGAAATACACGAGACGAAAGAGAGAATTCGCTTTGAATCGAATGAAATGAATTTGCGCTTTAACGCCATGGTTCAATGAGAAAAAAAAAAAGATAAGAAAGAGAGGAACTATCATTACTCCTTTATATCTCTTGGTATCCAGATAAAGCTCGGTACCGGGTACTAGAGCGAGTGAACAGGTGTAAGGGCGGACAGAAAAGTAGATCAATTTCCCGACGCAGAACACAATTCCAATCAGGAGGCCGTAGTCGACGTCCAACAGGATCACTGACGTGAATGTCACCGCCCAGATAATCCCGTCTATTTTGTCGAATTTCCAGAACCTCTTGAACTCGGTCACTTTCATTAGCATCCCCTTTAGAGCTACCACGATGATACTGGCTAGGATACACTGTCAATGAAAATTGAATTTCGTCTCGTATCGTTTACAATTCGATCTCGATAATTTTCAATGATACGGATAACATTACTGTAAATTACCCGCGGCAGAGGCTCGAAGAACGGACCGATCCACAGTAGAACGCTAATTAAAACTACACACGATGTCAGGCTAGCTAATTGAGTTCGTCCACCGGTAGTCTGCTGGATCAGGGATCTGGACATCGAAGCTGCGAATGGCATGCAAGAGAAGAAGGATCCAACTAGATTTCCAACACCCTAAAAGTCATTCAGGCTGGCGATAATTAGGTCACTCTTCTCTTTCATTCAGCGTGACGCTGTCCCCTGTCTCATTATTTTAATCGTAAGGCGGTCAAGGCGTCAATTAGGAAAAAGAGATTGACATGTCAGTTCTACAATTTGAATTATTTAATTTGCTTCCCTGATTATAATGTCGACGAGAGTGCATCGAATTTTCATCGATGACTGCACGATGCACTTCAATGCACTTCAAGTTTGATTCAAAGAGCAATTCAAAGATCAGATTGTTAGCCTTGTGTGCATCGATATTCTCGAATTGAAAATTTCAGTCATCAACACGTCCAAACCTCGGAATTTAAATGGAAATCGATGCATGCCGAGATTTCGAATTTAAATATTTAAATGCAAACCTGTGCCATTAGTTCCTGGTTCGAGTCCACCTCGTAGCTCAATTTCTGCGCGAAGATTAGCGCCATCGACATGGAAATGGTATAGGACACCATAGTGATGACGAGGCTGTCCAATAAAATGTTCGGTATCAAGGATAATGGCGGCAATGTCGGAGGCGGCAAACTGAAAGAGAATCGAAGAGAAAGTTACGTTAAGGACGTTGCTTCGTTTCAATGGGACACGACATAACTATCGTTCATGTTACAAGAAACTCGGTTACCCGACTGGTATGTCACCGACTATCACAATCCCATAAACTTCCGCAAGATTCAGATACACTGAGAGGAGAGTTCCAATCACGACCACTAGCATTTCTATAGGAATTGGGAAGGGAATTACTTTCGCGAGTTTCGGCTGCAAAAAGTTTTTCACTTAAGAAATTAAAATAAACCAAAACAAGTTTGCAACAAAGAGAAAAATACCTTCAACGCGTTGTTAATGATAAGAAGTAAAATGGTGGCGCACGATGTCAGGAGGGCGATCGTATTGACGGCATGAAGACTGTTAACGATATCCACATAACTCTGAAACGAGATTAAATAATTACAATTAAATTCTGAACTTTCTAAAACTAAGCTCTTCTGTTATAACGTTTGTATAAATAAAACAAACGATCATCGTACGTAATTGAAACTGTTCGTCATGAACGTTTTGCCACATACATATATTTCAAAAGTTCAATTTCCTTATGTAAGTGAAACACAATCAGTGAAAGTATTACTATTACATTAAACATTTCCTTTGTTTCTATTATTTGCAAGTCTATTGCTAAGGCATTGATCTAATTGTCGAAAACAACGCAGTTTTTTTCTTCCTTTTGCAAGGTGGATGTTAGTTACGTTATCGAAAACCTTGCGACTAGTTTCCTTCAACTTTTTGTCAAATTGACCAACGAATGCGGATTACGAAAGTCTTTGGTTATTGGAATAGTTTCTCTTTGACTTACGCAGTTTCTTTAGTTAAATAAAAAATTATCTAAATACGAAAACTGTTAAACAAAAATTATCTAAATACGAAATTTCACAACTATTATATTTAACTATTATCGGATCGGTCAAAGAATTTTCTCGTTTCTTTTTTTTTTTTAGCGTAGAATTAAAGTGTACAACAATAACGGGAAATTAATTAATAAAATCTTTAGACCGTTCTCCCATTTTCCCAACAATTTTTCGCAAAAAGTCTTGAATTTTCTACAACAGAATCGTTAGATTCCAAATGCTTTGGAACTCGTTTCTTTGTTTCAATGAGTAATCAATTGTTGGAAAGTCACCTCTGGAATCTCGTTCGGTATTTCACGTATTCACCTATCTACGGATAAAAAGAGGAATCGAAACGAGCGTTGCTCCGTGTCGGAAACAACAAAGTGCAGAATAATTGGCCGTGTTGCACGCAATAATCGACGTATTTGGTACGAAAGAGAGCGAGACGAATGTTGATTCTCACGCTGTTTCCGCTTTAATAGCACGAGGAACAAACCGGAAATTACGTCGGAGAATCTTCGAAAGGAAGAGAAACCCGGAAACGGGAAGAACAGTGTTAGTCATTTCGATGTGATTATCGTGAGCATTTCATTCCATCTAATCTAATACACTTGTGATGATTATCCTTGATTGTGTTCTACGATAAACCGTTTTCTCGTTTATCCGCGAACGGACGTGCTTGAAATTGAGGTCTATCGACACGGTTCGTTAATCCTTTACAAATTTCAAGGATCGAATAATCCATAAATCCGGCAATTCGCCAATTCGACGGATAGTTGACGAAATGTAAATTTTCATTACGAGAGAGAAAGAGATTTTTATTGGGGGAAATGTAAATTTTTATCACGCTAGAAAGAAGTTCTCCGCTTGTTCTTCTTTTTTTTTTTTCTTTTTATTTCAAAATTAGTAGCCTGTCGATGAAAATTTTCGCAGATGAACAAAATGAAGAACGATGCAATCTGAATTTAAATTTTCACCTCAGTGTCTGTGACAAATATTTCTTTCGCTGGTACAGAAATATGATTTCATCATACGAGGGAACGCTTGATAATATACGATTTAATGCTCGGCAATACACATAACGATTCGAATAGTTATGGCGATGACAGAAATAAAAGAGGTTATTTGACTATCCCGTAGCTGGTAAACATTGTTATCGCGTGGAAAAATTTCATTAAGGCAGCCAATACTTCCTCCAACGCACGTGTAAGCGCAAACGACGTAGCTGATGTACATAATAAAAATGAAGGGATTAATTAGACAATATTTAATTGGCGAAACATCTCGTCAACAATCATAGAATATCACGTAGATCCTGAAAGATTTACGATCGTGGAAGTTTACTTTTGCTATTCTTCGAAATAAAAACAAACTTTTCAACTGTTATTTCCTCCGTATTATTTTTCATATGGCTGCAATTTTCTAATTTACAAGCAACTTGTGCGTACCTCTCACCATTCATTCAATACCACTAACTTCCTGTATATTACGTTTAAAGAGAAAGTAAAGCGCATACACTTGCCGATGGTTCAAGTAGTTCAATTAATTAACTAAAGGTCCCGATCAGTTCGACAAACCTTTAATTTCCCCCTAATAAATTTCGAATCAGCTTCCTGGCGTTTCGAAAGATTTACTTGCCACCTCCAGCAATGCTTCTCCGTCAGACATATAAAACAGTAGAGGTAAAGAAAATCTGAGAATACTCACGAAGATCAATTTGAATGGTCCATTGCGTCCGGGTAAATTCCTCAGTCCCAATAAATCCTCCAGTTGCGACGTGAACACGTGAACCGCCGCGGAAGTGGTGAATCCACTTACGAGACTGTCTGCAAGGAGCGACGCGATCACCCCCAATTGTAATAAATACATTGCCAGCTGAAAGTTTCAGGATAATTCATTCGAGACAGGTTGCTTCCGAGGACTTTTCACTCGCTAGCTTCGTAGCAACTTTGTTCACGGAGTGTTGGAACGTTCGGAAGGGCTTTCATTTGCTAGCCTCGGTCGCTTTGTTTTTTGAAAATTTCGCGTCAAGTTTAAAAGAAATAAAAACACGAGGTAGATGATGGTAAATTGGAAAAATTGATAGGTTGGAAAGGTGACGGAAGATTACCTGAATCACGGCCACGGTGAAAGTGACCGCGGTGGCCACTTCCACGGGTGAATATCGATTGCTCATCGAGGATAATAGCTCGTTTTCCGTTGTGGCGTTGTTGGCCAATTGTCCTTGAGTGCTGTAAGTCGCGACCACTTTCCCGGTCATCATGCAAATCAGCGCGAATGTACCTTCGTCATCGAGAGACTCTGTGTTACTTTAATTATCACCTTTAATTCCAATCGTTGATTACTTTTGTAACGTTGCATTAGTTGTGCGAACATACAATGGAATTTCGTTGACAATGTCGATCACGACACGGCCGTTTCTCCCATTATCGCGAATCATTTCAAAAAAACTTTGGCAATTAATCCGAGGACGAAACTTTTCGCAATTAACTGCTTAATTCGAACGAAGTTCCACGTATGCATATGTATCTGTTTTAATGTGATATTACTGCCCCGACTGGTTGAACTTTCGTTATCTAGGTTAATGGACACGCGTAATAACAAGTCACGAGGTAATGATCATAACGAGAAAAAGCAGCCGGGGTATTCCATGCGGAATCCCGTGGCGATTTCGTCCAAACTGACAAGCTGTCAGTGGAAAGTGAAGTCGAAATGAAAGTTAGAAGAAAGCAAACGCGAGGAAGCGCTGTCGAATTAGAAGGACTGTTCCCTTCTGTTCGTTCGAAAATTTCATTTGTCAATCTGTCTGGGAGTATCTAAGGAAACGTTCAATTGCGTGTTCGATAAATGATCGAAATCAACGTAAATCATCGCAAAGAATGGAGAAGGATCAGCGTCGTGAAGCTTCCGTATTTCGTAACTTCTTACTTGGAATTATCAGGAGTTTCTGAATCATTGAATCATGCTTACCCATCGAATTATGCCTTGAAGTGCCAAGGAATAGATAAACGAGAACAGGGAAAAATGCCATGTAGATACCGACTATAGGTGGCACGTTGCCCAATATTGCGTAAGCCATTCCTGCAAGGTAAATGCGTTCATTACAAGACAAATGACTTTTGCTTCTTCGAAACGATAAAAATCCAACGTATAAACAGATTCCAATGAATCAAAGCTAGATGTCCTCTTCGTAAAATACAACCTTGATTTACTCAATCTGTATTGTTCAAGACAGATTCATTAGTCAAACTTTCTGTTTAGTACTGAATTTTTATTAGAATTCTGTTGGATATTACATATAAATAAATATATATATATTTATTTATATGTTTATATTTATATGATATAAAATTATATGTTAAAATTATATGTTTGTATTTATATGATATTACATATATATATTTATATATATATTTATATTTATATATATTTATTAATATATATATATATATATATATTAATTTATATGTAGATATAAATCGTATCTTGTTGAATGGATGTGTATCAAGATTCGTCTATTTTTAACATTGTTCCTTTCAGACTTACATCTGAAATACAATAAATTGTTTACACACACAAACTTCTCTCGATGGTCTAAACATTTGACGCAGGATTTCAAATTTTTAAAATGACTAGCCTTCTCTCGGTGACATTAATTTTAAACAAAATCAAGCCAGTTCATTCGATATTATTATCTCGAAGCAAATTATATTTCTTTGAAAATGTTCGTACCTTGGGGAATATGCATCACCGCCACAGTGATCCCAGCAATGATATCACCCAGTATATCTCTCTTCCAATTGTACGTTGACAACCATCCAATAAGGGGTATAGTGTTCTTCAAAACCATCATCGGTCTGATTCGCCTGCATTTTGTCGCGATGCTCTTCAAAACTGTGACATCAACGATTCACGTGAAAAATCACGTTTTGCAATTGTTATCACGTAGAAGACTCATTTTTATTAATTGAGTTATTATCAAAATATTCCTCATTACAGTTTAAACGATAATAATTAAAATAAATAGAGTTATACAATTATGTTTTTGTCTAGACGTTGTTAGATAATCAATATTGACCTCTTGCGCTGGAATGACTTGCCACGCACGTCGAAAATTTTTTCTCTCAAAATTGCAATATTTTGAAGTATATTTAAATGTTTTAAATATATTTAAGTATAACCCAGGCAAAATAAATAATAAACTTATTACTTGATAATTTCTATCCAGTGATATCATACCGACGAATTCAAAAAGAAAGTGACGAATTGTATACAGTTCGGTCGCTCGTTATGGTCCGCAATCAGTTGCCAGCGCAAGTGGTTAATTTTGATGAAAATAAATAAAATTGCAAAAAAAAAAAGAAATCTGAAATTTTGACAGTAAATAGTTTAATCGATCAAGAAAAAAGTATGTCTCGAATTAAAGTGAGAAGAAAATTTCCTTGTTCAAAGGAACTTCCTTTTTGTCGATTCTTCGAAACGAACTTTATGCAATGAACTCGCAATAGTTTTCATTCCTCTCGGCAATAGCAGCGTATTGTCGTGTGGATTACACGGCTGGCTGACGGCAAATAAGCCAGCATCGCGGCGCCATGATTCCTGATATTCGCACGATCGAAATCGACACGTATCCGCGTACGATACTTACGCGCTTCGTTCGGCTTTGCGTATTTGCACAGATGATTAAGCTCGTCCTGTTGATACACCGGTCGTCTCACTGTTAGCTCAGGGCTGAGCGCCGACATCTCGTCGCTTAGATCGTCTGCGAATTACATATTTTCGTAAACCTCGTGAGGTTTCTTTATTTTCAAAAATGACGCGCAAAATTTCAAAGTGACGCGCGCGAAATTTGAAATTTCTTCGTACGTTCGCGCTGACAATACTTTTAACAGTGTACATCGTTTCTCGTCATTTCTAAAATACGACACACGCGCACGCGATGTACTTAATAAACGAATAAAATGTGTTTAAATTGAAACGCGACTTAAATTGAAAATCACGAATTTTTCCGTGAAATTCAGCATTCGATGATAATTCGTATTATAATCACACATCTGTCGTGTCTCAATCACATCAGATATCTCAATCATACATCTGTCTCTGTGTAATCATCGACGCGAAGATATAGGTGTTTTGAATATTATTTGTTCGGACATAGCATTGTGGAGAGGGTGTTAAAGATTGAAGACGCGTTTTAGATAACGTGCACTGTTATACGTACGAACGTACTGAGAAAAGCACGTACATGCAATAGCTGTGCTTACGCAAAATTACGTAAACTTATCTCAAGCATGCGAACAACGAGTCGCAGAATATATATGTCTAACCACGTAGCCTTTCCTACTTTCTAAATAGAAATATTGCGCATAACGAGTAACTGCACGAGTAATTGTAGAGTTTTGACGATCGCGTAATAGTAATTCTTCAATCAACACGCGACAATAGAAACATCAAATTTATGATATATGTACGAGAGTGGAAATTATTCGAGAATTCGAGATATGAATACACTGGGAGTATACAGGAGGTTTGAAAGTAGATTAGTTTGTTACACCAGATAATTTGAAAACCGAGACTCTTTGAACGAATTAAGAGCGGATAATTGAGTGCTATTTTGAGTTTGGAGATGAGCAGAGCAGAAAGTAGATCAGTTGCAAATTTTCAGAACTTAAATTTACATTTAAGCACGATTAGATGAGATTCTTCTTATCAGTCGATTGAATTTCAATAACATAAATAAGACAATTTAAATTTTAAATAACATGCAAAAATTAGACAAGATTGATCAATCACTGCGTTTCAGGAGTCAATTCATTTCACTTCAATAATTACTTCAGTGATACGTTATAATCTTTTTTCATATGAAGCTCGTAGCGACATAAATTTCCTCGATCGATAATAACTTAGGACAATCCTAACAAATTAGGAAGCCATCGACCACTTCTGCCTCTAAATTCAAATTCAAGTGCAAGAAGTTTCAAGTCTTTCGAATCATTCTCAGAAAATTACAAAAATTCAGACGTTAAGGTTTTGCATATCCCGCGTCACGAATTGACGGAAATAAAAAAAAGAAACTTCGTAGACACGTTAAGGAAAGACCTGTCATGGCGATGACGAGGCGTGTCCCACTTGCACACGATGTTGACTCGGGGATTCTCAAGATCGGTGTCGCGACGAAAAAAAAAAAAAAAAAGATGCGATCTGAAAGAGAAGAACCACAACGGACGCGATGATAAGTCCGGCTGCACTGTCTATCGCTTAACTGGCGTGTCGAACGTGAACGCACACGCTTGGCTCGTGTGTTTCCCATTGGAATTCAGTCACGTGCCGATGACTTGGAGCCGAGAGTTGCCAAATAAACGCGCGTCTCTTGGATAACGATCGTGACGGTACTTCATCGCGGTTAAGATGCTTAATTGAGTCGATGTAACTGCGCGTCTGACTCATTCGGTTGGAACATGGATGTCCAACCTTTTAGATCTTCTGGATCTTTAGGACTTCGTTGGCCAACAAAAATTTGTCCAGTGCCGCGCATAGTAATTACGTATTTTTTTCATCAGTTCAATGTAATCTGCTAATTTATTTATGAAGCTATTAAAACAACTTTTATAGCGAAAAAAAAACATTGATACATTGATTAGAAAAATATATATTTATATTAATGAAAAAAAATGTGAAAATTTTGAATGGAAACAGTAAGCTTGTTTTTTTTTTTTTTTTCTTTTTAGATAACAGTTTATCAATATCTGGTTTAATATACAGAATATATTTTAAATGGAATTATATATTCTTTATTGTATCAGTTGATGCACCTTGATATTCTTTACAAAAAAATTTTAACCTATTTATGTTAAAAAATCATTAGGAGATATTTTAATTTTAATGTTATTAGGAAATAAGGTGTACGCTGAGCCTCCAACCACAATGGCCACTATGAGAGATCGTATCATCAGCGAGTGTAATAAACACCAGATACATTACACAATGTGAGTGAATTATTAATCTATCGATTCAGAAAATATCATGATGTAAATGGTCGTCACATTGAACCTTTTCTCTAAATAAAATCATTGCAACATTAACAAAAGGGGTCATGATATCCTAACAACATTAAAATTAAAATATCTCCTAAACTAATGATTTTTTAACATATAGGTTAATACTTTTAACAAATAGGTTAATACTTTTTTGTAAAAAAATATCAAGGTGCACCAACTGAGGCAATAAAAAATATATGATTCTATTAAAAAAAAAAAAAACGTTAATGACCTTGTGCCTTTCTCGAAACCACATTCAATTTCATCTGAAACATTTTTCGCTATGCGTGATAATAATAATGACGCAAATGTAAATGTCAATATGTGATGATCTAACCTGTAGGTAGTGACAAGATGCTCGTCTAAAATTTTCCTTTTTATTTTATTTTCTGTGTGCTTCGTATGGGGAAAAATCTGTTCGCAAAAGGGACAAACATTCATGGTTAAAATTATTCAAATAATAAAATTCCAATTCGATTATTCCAATTTTGGTTATACAAAAACTATGGGACACGCCTGGGTTAAAAAGTAAAATTGATACCACTGTCGTGAATAGCTACGACGAGATGAGAGTTTTGATTCTTACAACTCGATTCTAAGATCACAGTTCTTCTCACGTGGTCGACGTATTTGGTGCTTGGATAAAGTTTATCAGATAATGACGTAACACAAGTGGTTACAAACATTCGCATGTATTCCCAATTTTTAATGAAAAGCTGTTTTTGTCAGATTGTATATTTCGTGTTCGTAAAATTTTTCTGAAAGTGTTACTAAAATTCAATTAATTGGTACATGAATGTTATGATACATGTCATTATTCATGTACCAATTATATGGTGTGCAAATAATTTTTGTAACCACTGTAGATACACTAGATAAATTAGATGATCAATTGAATGAAATAAATCTACGGCTCTAAAACAACGTTAGATAAATTTATCGATAAGATAAATAATAATTCGTGAAACAAGTCGAATTAATATCTCTAGATAAGTTTATTGATAAAATTAAACAGCAATTAATAAAATTGACAACTCTAAAAATATCGGATAAATTTATCGATAAAATTGACAACAATTAACGAAAGAAATAATTGACGAAATCAATCATCGAATCGAGCCAAAATTTTTAATGTGAAAAATTTTCAGCGTCCATTAACGACATAAAAATTCTGGAGAGAGTGTTGTGCGATCACGTGAGTTTTTCTCTGTTAAATGGAAACACAGCATAGCTCATACGATTACATCATTGTCGATCTTGAAGTTGTCGATCGACCTCGCGTAACCAAAGTGGATCGAAGTCAATAGCACGGCGACGTAAAAATCGGCGAGGAACGGGGCGAAACTTTTGAACAAACGAGCAAAGCGCCGCTTATCTCGTCGAGACGAGATATTATTACTCGGATGCTTACCAACCGATTTACCGAGATATTCGAACTCTCCGTTTTAATCCGCGTCTCCTCCTTCGGTTATCAGGCGTAAAGCCGAGTTTAAACTCCTCACGAAAACAAATCTCCTTTAGTCTTCGGCGATTGTGGCTTGTAAAAGCCGCTAACAACGCACGGGCAAATAAGTTTGAAGATGAGACTTCAAATCGGATTAATACTTTTATTTCACTGGCTGTCGAGTCTCTTTGTCCCCTCTGCAATTGTCGTGAATATTACATAACAAAATCCGTGGAATAAAAGACGTCGTGAAAGTGAGGACGAAAAGTTGGAGCTCGAATTGTCGAGAGGAGCATCGAGCCACTGATCGATCGACGAGCACTAACGAAATACAACTAAAATCGTCAAGTCGTCGGGAACACTGTGAAGTGGCAGAAACATTTCACTTTTGGCCGAGATCTCGATCAGTATTTCTCCCCGACTTTGTTATATTACGTTCTATTGTCGAGGACGCACTGTTGTTCGCACACTGATATTCCGTAGCAGTAGTCGGAAGCAGAATTTTGTGAAAATCATGCTCTGTCAGCACACAAAGCCTGAACAGATTTATGAACTATTTGTATTCTTATCTCTTTCTGTTTCAATTGCACGACTGGTTGAGAAAACAGTGACACTGTTATTGTAATTTCTAATTTTCTCTGATAATCTCTGTGCTTGCAGCAATCGAAAGTTGCAAGTCAAAGAGAAGGAATCACGTTTCTTTCATTTAAGTAAGTCATTTTTGTAAGTTCTCGAACAAAATGAGGTGAACAAAAGTAAGTCGAGTAATAAGCACGGGCAATGGTTGAACAAACAGGGATTATTATTCCCTTGTCCAAATTTGAGGAAGCATTCGTGGCACATAAGAGACGTTCTTTGTGTGTATTCTCGTCGATGCTATTATCATTTGCTTAATCTTAGATTATGATATCGTACGCACAAAATTCTCTTAATTGCAGGTATTATCTTAAAATTCTTACGACGACTATTATTTATTATATTTAATTTTATTTGTTATATTATTTTAATTTTTAAATTTTAGTCGTTCGATTTATAATATTCGTAACGTGTGTGATTTTTTTATTTAGATGCACTTTTTTAAATTTAATCTTTGATATATAAATTTATAATATTAAATTCATAATATTAACCTTTGATATATTATTCTGGACTTTTTACACATTCGTATCATCTCTATAAAATTCTGGTCTCTTTATAAATTCATATCACCTCCATAAAATTCTGGACTGTTTTATAAACTCGTATCATCTCTATCATAAATTTTGCGAATTATGGAGTACGATTTTTTTGTTTTCTTTAAGGCAATTGTACCAACGTGTGGTATGATTTCTTTCCTTGAAAATTTCTTCATCTGAGCGACCGATCGACGCGTTCAGACATTAACGTTCTTTGTCTTTTTGTCTTTGACTATACCCAAAATGGCATAATTCCTCATCCCCATGTATATAAAATGAGTCACAAAAGTATTCTTCTCCTTGCAATCATGAAATTCACATTCATGTAACAATTAAAATTTCATCGAATGATATAAATAAAAATTTGAGCAAATAGTTGCAGATTTTATGTCACAGGAGTATTCATTTTAAAGATATTCACACTATTAATACGTTTACATAGCCTTAGATTCTTTCTTTGAAATATATATATATATAATATATATATATATAAGATTCTTATATATTCTTTATATATATATTAGATTCTTTCTTTTAAATATATATATATACATATATATTCATTAGAGGAACAGCTTCATCACGTGAAAAAAATCACCAATGCTTTAAGTCTATCTCTCGAAAAAAGAAATGGCGCAGACAAGACGAGTTTAGCCGAATATTTATTAGCGAAGAATCTTACGTGACATTCCTCGTTGATATATCCGCGCCGATAAACTATTTTTAGTAACTCGCGAATGCTTTCTTTGTCTTCACGTGACAGTCCATATTACAAACATTATAAATGTATTACGGTCTGTAACTAGAGTTTAGAAACGTTTATCTGCAACCAATTGTAAGAGCAATTTTACGACATCAGATAAAATATATCTTTCCAGATCAGGTGGGATTTGCCAGCGAATCTTACCTGGTGCGTATACAGCAGGAACGTGAATTTTTTCAGAGAAAATGGTCGAGGGAGAATTTAGAAAAATTGTAGAAATCGTTTGAATTTATTCTCTTGCGAATTATTATCGTCACGTTAAAAAAAAAAAAAAAAAAAACAAAGGATAGATCAGACAAAATCGAAGAACTTCGTAGGCTGTTCCACGCAAGAAGAGACCAGTGGCAGTATCCTGTAATAGAGTCTCTGGAATTCTTCCTCCTTTTTATCCGTGAAACGTTCGTGCATCCTTGGGACAGTATTGATATCTAATTGAAGACCATCTTTGCTAGAGTCTATCCAATTGACCATGCGATTTTTATCCTTTGGAGTAGGATTCCTGATAAAGTGAAAATATTATGCCAGAAATTATCTCTAACACGGTCATACCTATTTTACTTCCTCGGCAATCGTACCCGTATTTGGCGAAATTGGCCCACATGTTGACCATCCTCTTTCTGAACCGATTGAATCTATTTCTCGGGCTTGTAGGTGCGTGAAGCTCCTTTGAATTGAATATGTATCCAACATCGTCGAAGTGCGCGGTTCCTGAAAGAACTCTCGATCTTATCTTAAAGAAACATGCAAATGCTGGAAGTACCATTTATCCTCTGTATTTTGTTATTATTTTTATTCTCTACGATCGATCGTACATATTTTTCTTTTTTTTTTTTTTCTGGAAACGTACCGTTCAACGGGTTGTGCTCGACTTTGTGCCAAGAGTATTTCGTCTGATAGGATAATCTATAATAATAAATAGGATGACCCTTATTGTATTCTGCCAGCAGCCTCTGAGTCAGGTCAATGGGGCCGGCGAAAAATATATCCACCATGAGCTTTGTAAATGTAAAAGATATTGTTACGAGAGATCGAAGCAAAAAGAAAGAGAAAAAAAAGAGAAACAAGAACAATCATTCTCACTGTCTCCAGTTTGCGATAACTGGTTTTGTATAAATCGCTAATGGTGCGCGCGAATAAGTCTATCGGTTCTTTAGTTATCTCCTTGAGTTTGCTTGCGTGCTTCACGTACTTTAAGGCCCAATCGATCATGTTCGCCACTCCGATTGGAGCTAGAAATGTGAAACGTGCGGCATAACGAATTGTTATTAGAAAATAATACACGGTACTTACGGCCTAAAAACAGTAGAACCTCGTCGCGAGTGTAACCTAACATCACGTCGTGATGATGAAAGTCTCCGTTATTATACTTCGTTATGGGGCATTCCGTTAGGAACGTGCTATTGGTATAATCGATCTCGGGATTTTCTCTGGTCGGTCGAAATGGCAAAAAGTTCTGGAAAAAAGATCGTAGAATTAACAAACCTCCAATAAGTACCTTGAGCATGTGCAATTGTAATTTGATCAGATCAAAATTCGATCGTAGTATTAGATAAGATTAATTACCAGGTCGACGTTTTGCGCTGCAATTACCAGACTTGACGCGGGTGCTTGGCGAAAATAATTTAACAAGTCGTCCTTGCTCTTTGGTACGAAATTAAGTAGGTTGGCGAGTTTGTAAGCGTTCTGAATCATCTTCTCCGGCGTGTGGTACGCCCAAAGACACAGAGGTGTGCCACTCATGCTAATCGATCGGAGAAACAGTCCTGAAAAGATGGCCGATATTAGATAAAAAAAAATGCACAGACTCTAGTCCCTTTGACATTATATTTCTAACATGTATTGCTATTCTATAATATTATAAGTATACATATTATAAATATGTTCTTTTAAAAATATTACATAATTTTAAAAATATGTCTTTTAAAAAATTACATAATTATATATATACATATTATAAATATGTCTTTTAAAAATATTACATAATTTTAAAAATATGTTTTTTAAAAAATTACATAATTTTACTTTTAAAAATATTACATAATTATAATATTATATAATATATTTTATATTATTATTACTTTATAATATTATAAATATATATATTAGAAATATGTCCTTCAAAAATATTATATATTATAATTATAATATTATGTAATATTATGTAATATTATATTTTATATTATTGTTATTTTATAATATTATATTTTATATTATTATTATTTTATAATATTATATATATATATATATATATATATATATATATATATTAAAATATGTCTTTTAAAAATATTATATATTATAATTATAATATTATATAATATTATATTTTATATTATTGTTATTTTATAATATTATATACATACTAGAAATACAATGTCTTTTAAAAGTATTATATTACAATTATAATATTATATATAGTATACATTTATAATAATATATTTATAAATCTATATAATATTATAACTGTAATATATAACACTATATTAGTATTTTAGAGTCCAGTGTGTACCTCTAGATCGTTCTGATAACGTATGAAAACCGACAGAAGTGGCGCCAGCGCTTTCCCCAAAAATTGTCACTCGCTTCGGGTCGCCCGCAAACGCGGCAATATTTCTTTGCACCCAGTGAAGAACCAAGTTTTGATCCTTCAAACCGGCGTTGCCCATTGCATCGGGGTGATCCAACGCCAAAAATCCTGAAAGTAGAATTAAAGCTAACTCCTTGAATTACAGCAATGAGCGAAACGTACGTATCGAATTTTAACGTAAACGATATTTTGTCGAGAACTTGCACGTAGAATAGAAAAAAAAAGCAAAGTATGTACTATTTCGTAGGGTGTTACAACATGTCACCCATCACCGTTCTCGTAGATACAAAATATTTTTCTGAGAATCAATTTTATATAACAATTAATTTGAATGAAAAATTATCGATACTTTGAACTGTTGTAACATCGTGTCATATAAATGAGACCAAGTAGATTGTCACATTATTTTCTTTTATGAAGTTTAAAATATCGATAACTTCTCATCATTACGTCATTATTCATTCATATTAAAATTACGCCCCTTATCGTATAAATAATCGTAGAAATAAAAAGAGAGAAAGTTTAAGTACCCAAAACGCCAAGTCGATAATTGAAGCTAACAAGAACGATATCTTCTTCCATGAAGAAGTCGGGTCCGTATACAGACGTATTACTATATCCAGTGAAATAGGCACCACCGTACATCCAAACCATAACTGGCCTTAATTTCAGTTTATCTTTAAATTCCACCTATTAGAAATCCAAACCATAATTGGCCTTAATGTTAGTTTATCTTTAAATTCCACCTATTGATAACGATCCTTGTAACATTTTATTTCATTCCTGTTCATTCTAAACTCTATTATACGTGGTATTAAATTAGTTAGACGATAGTTACCTCGCGAGTGAACACGTTCAGGTACAAACAATTCTCGTGACCTCCTAATTCACTCGTCATCAGATTCAACTGAGGGCACATACTGCCCTCTTTGAAAGCGTATAACACATTTCTCCATGGCTTCTTTGGAACTGGTGGCTACAATCGTTGAAATAAAACGATCATCATTAATATTCTTGTCTATAAATGTAAATATTTAATCATGTATTCAATCACGTATTTATAATATTCTCTAAAAGTAGAATTCCCTAAAGTTTGGTCTGAGCGCGATAAGTAAAAATACTTCAAATAACAATAGACTGCGTATTTCATTAAGATGTTGATGAAATGAGAAATATCATACTGTTTTAACTTTGCACCAACATAACCGTCTTTGTAGAGAAGTTATTTATTTAACTTTACGTGTCACCTTGAATCTCAAGTCGCCGAGGGGCGGTTCCGCATAAGGGATGCCTTTGAACGATGAATACTCGATCGAGTGCCACACTGTGCGCAACACCAAACCACGAACTGGTCCACTGGGCGTCCTGACAACAGGAGTCGCAAAGAAACTCACGGCCAAAGATGCCAACGATGTGACGAGACAAATAAAAAGCAAAAGACTTGTGCCATTCATGCTGACTTCTCGACGAAGGTACGAAATTGCATTACGAATTTTGATATCACAGTGACGCACCGGTCCTCGTCCCGGCTAAAGTGAACTGGATATTCAAGTTAGTTTCAATCAGCAAATAATGCTGCACAGTGTGCAGAATTTTTTCGCGTATTAAGAGCATTGCGCGTTTCAAATTTCAGCTGACAAACACTTTACTACGTATGGGAAATGAAAATTGTGTCAGTTGTATGAATTTGTTACAGATGCGAGGTCTCTCATTTGCATAATCGTCATGGCACTCTTTTCTGCTTCGTAAAGATGGTACTTTTGATATCTGATTGATTCATATCTGATATTAATATTGCAACAAAGGAGACAGTTTTGGTAGTCTTTGTTTAATTAGGTACAAAGAACACTGTCAAAATTGTATTCTTTACATCGTGGATGATCTGAGTGGGACCGTTTGGGTCCATTTTTCCTCTATCTTCTATTTCAAGAAAAAGGTCTGCAAGACAAAATTGAATGGTTATTAACAGTTCATTATCAGTGAATTCAATTTCAGTGATTACGTTTACAAAAGAATATTCTCACCTTGTTCGAACTGGTGATATGAATACTGGTGAATTGCGAGTCAAATATTTTATTAAAAATTTAATATAGTAATATAGTAATATAGTAATAATTTAATATAGTAGAAAAATTAATATAGTAACATAGTAAAATTTAATATAGTAATAATTTGAATATAGTAGAAAAATTAATATAGTAACATAGTAAAATTTAATATAGTAATAATTTGAATATGGTAGAAAAATTAATATAGTAATATAATAAAATTTAATAATATAGTAATATAGTAAAATTTAAGTTATAGTAAATTTAACAATATAGTAATATAGTAAAATTTAATAGTATAGTAAATTTAACAATATAGTCAAATTTAATAATATAATAATAATTTGATCATTAGATAAACATAACTGGCGAATATCTAAAATGAATAAAATTAGAAAATTCGCTCAATCATGTACATTCAATTACCACGTACTGTTGAAAAATTGAAGTGCAATTATTCCATCTTGTTCGACAGCTGAAATCTTAAATGATAAACAGGACAATAAATAAGAATAACGATAAAACACGATTAATAAACTAAATCTATTAAGCGCAATAAAGAATGAAAATCGACCAAACGGAAGATTAATTGTTTGATAATAAATAAACTTGCGAATTTATATTTTTATTAACACACTGGCGAAATACAATTTAAATAGAAATACGTTCTATTTTGATGAATTTATACGTGTGTCTTTTCGTTCTTTAAACTTTTCCACAAATTTAATGTACAAATTTGATACGCAAAAATGTCCGCCGTGCAATAATAAATAATGGATTACAAGTACAATGGCAGAGAGAGGTCCGAATTACACGGATAACGTGAGCGCGGGGCAATAAATAACAAAACAAAGCAATTAACCTTCTGGCTGCGTAACTGGGACAAGTTATATGTAGCTTCGGAACGGTAGACAATAAAAAAGGATTTCACAATGAACAAAATGAAACGGTTTCCAACCGTCGTATCGCACGACACCGTGTATACGCCTGTGCTTGAAGTAGAGAGACATTTTCACGATTTGATAAATTGCTTCGACCTGTATACCGAAAACGCTTTCTGTTTCGAGAATGTCACTTCGCGAAAAGGTTAAACGATCAAATGCTTTCCATTAATTGTAACAGCACACGTACATAAATATATATTATATGTAGCTCTGCGTCTCGTGTGTGTGTGACATATCACGCATGTGGTATCAATTTGAAGTACACACACACGTGCCTCTCGTTAGAGAAACCGTGTAATCTTTCGTATCCGACGATTTGGGAATGAAAATGCTGTTGTATCAATTTTCAATCATTGATTTGAAAGAATAATTTCCGCTTTGGTAATTTATTTAACATTTATCTGAATTTATAGCCAAAACATCGTTCAAGAGAAGATGAAGTTTGAGAATAAGTTTGAGCAGATAAATTTACAAGATCCCGTAAAGAGACCAAGTTTAAAAATAAAATAGATCTGATCTGATCTAATCTAGTCTGATTCGGGAACCGATTAAATACATTAACAGTACATATATTCTACAATCATGGCAAGATAATCTGAAGCAAATACTTTCAAATTCACAGCATCTTTCTTCTGTTATAATTATTTATGTACCATTGACGACTTGATAACGTCATAAATTTCGATTCACGATTCCTACAATAAAATTAAATTAATTACATTACGATTTCAATGTGTTGATGCAATCAAAAGATTTCTGACAACTTTCTGTATTTATAATGGGAATATATTATTGAAACAAATTTATTTCGTATCTTTCATCTTCCGAGGTGAACTGAGATGGAATATTTTCTATTAAAAATTTTTACCTTCGATTCTCCAACATGGCTATGACATGATCTTGAATAACAAGTACTTGCTAAAAAAATTTATTTACAACGTAAGGCGAACATTATTAATTAATATCGAAGTAATAGTCGGTATCGAGATTTGAACCGATTTTGAACTCGTCCGAGTTTTCGACGAATTTTCGTTATCAGAATCATCTTCGACGATGAGAAAGAATATTCAAAAATGATAACCAATTCTACACGTTTGACAGAATTCTATTTATTGGAAAGAAACCTACAGAAATATTATATTAATCTTATACATACTAGTATTTCTAGTACATTTTATAAAAAAAAAAAAAAAAAAAAAAGAAATAGAAAATTTCTGAAATCTCTCTTTCAAATTGTACATTATGTAAAGTTTGTAGGAAGAAACCAAACGATTTTCTCTTTCGATGTTGAGAGCGTCTTCTCGCCAACACTTTGTAAGACCCGAGAAAGAAGACACGAGAGAAAAGTCTAAATTCCAATGAGAATCAATTTTCCCGTCGAGGAGGTATCGCAAAGTCAGCCGCGCTATTTTTCAATTAGAAGGAAATTCGAAGCGACGGAACCGCCTGGCAGCGAAACGCGAGAGTGGTGGTTCGTGAACGAAACGTTCCACATTCCCCGGGCACTCGAAACGCTGCTAGCTTCAGCTGAGTTTCACTTGAATTTCCTTTGCGCTCACAGCTCTCCTCGGCTGCCTTCTTAAGTTCAACACCCGCGCGCTCTTTTATTGTCAGTCACCGGGAAAGGGTAGCGAAGTTGTTGCTTTATAATGGAAGAGCCAATACGTGATCGTCTCTATAGGTTCTTTTCATGGCTCTCGTAACGGCCGACAGGAACTATTAGATAACGGGTGACCTGTTACGGGAGCTGTTCTCGCCTCTTTCTTTCTTTCTTTCTTTCTGACGTCTCGCGATTTTTCAAAAAATTTCAACTCACGAACAACGAAACGTCGTATCCGCATGTTCCTCGTTGCAATAGGATTTCGTTTATCCATTTGTCCACGATTCGAAGTTCCATCGTACTTGCTAAGTGCTTGACAAATACAATTAAAACAAATTAAATTCTGACGTCTCGGAATTTTTCAAAAATTTTCAAATCACGAACGTCGTATCTGCATGTTCCTCGTTGCAATAGGATTTCGTTTATCCATTTGTCCACGATTCGAAGTTTCATCGTACTTGCCAAGTGCTTGACAAAATACAATTAAAACAAATTAAATTTTTAGAAATCGATTCGAAGGGGAAGTTGAATGTTCGAAAATGTGAAAAAAGTTCAAAAGCGAGTGCAAATGTTCCCTTGAGTTTCCTTCAGTTGCGCGCTGATACGTCTGTTCTGTTAAAACGAACGAGGAACTAGAAAAATATTCGAGTAAAAAAAAAAAAAGAAGAGAAATAGAAACTAGAGGAATAAATGAAAGTGACTAAAAGTGTGAATAATGTTAATCAGGAATTTTTTTATTAAGCAAGGATAGTAAAGAAAGTGACACTGGTATGGTTAATACGTCTTTTTCTACGTGTCTATTTATTATGAAAATATAATACAAAACATCCTATGTTGTATTACATAGATAACAATGCTCAATTAACGTTTTATTCCCTTTTTTGTCTTGTAACGTTACCATCCAACACTATGAGAAGCATGTCAGGATAGGTAAAGTTCGTGTTCTCTTATTCCGTGTTCTTCGTCTTCGTCGATTCTTTTTTTTTTCTCGTTTTTTTTCTCGTTTTTCCCTTCGTTCTCGTTTTCTTTTTCTTTTTTCATTTTTTTTTTTTTCATCGTTTTACTTCGTTTGGAGGAAAAAGGCCCGATATTACAGAGAGAGAAGATACATATAATAGACGAGAGACGTTACAGAGGCGAAAAATTACAGACTGGAACGGAGAAACGAAAGTATCCTGGTGTTGTAGTATTTTCTTTTTTTTTTTTTTTTGTTCTTTTACATGACTCGTATGTTCGTATTTTTCTTCCTTCTTCTTACAAAAAACGATCGTCCATTCGAACGAGCGGAACAGGAACAAGGGCGGGAGTTTATTTTCCATTTCTTTCGCGTTTTTTTATTATTATTATTTTTTTTAGCATTTTTTCTTCGTTTTTTTTTTCTTTGTTTCATATTTTTTTTTTCTTTTTCTTTTGTTGGTTTCGGTTTGACTCATTCGTCTGGGCTTCGCGGGGTCCAGGAATAAGGGTTCAGGGAAACGGGACTCTCTTCTTGTTTCGCGTGTCGATGCACAAATTGGAGTTTTGTATTAGCGCTAGTTTACAAATAATACAAATGTATGTAAATATTCGTTATTATAATAATAGGTTCCCTCTTAGCGAGAAAGAAGCTTAAAGCTAATTCATCTAGCGTCACTATCGTTTTCACACCATGCTAATACTACATAGGTGGTACCCGTGAAACAGCCCTGCTTCGTAGTTGGTCGGACATGTTATCGACCGCAAGACAGAACGTCAGCGAGTAGCATTAGAAGGGTGGAAATGCAGGAAATTACCAGTTGTCGAAGAAGAAAAAAATATTCACAAATGGACGATCAACGTAGGACCAACGTCCTTTGTTTATCTTTTCTTTTTTCCCTTGTCCT